GCTCGGTTTTATGATTTCATCGCTTCCTGACCTTTATATTATTACGTTTGGTTATGGTGCAGTGTTCCCGTGACTTCTGATGCGGGCATCAAAAGCGAATATCATGCAGTCGTCATATATTGTGCAGCTCAAGTCTGGGTTCGTGTACAGATCGCACCTGTGTCTATCCATCCAGGTTAGTCTGTGCGTGTCAGATAACTGTAATTGATGATTGACTACTAAAAGCTAAAAAAGTGAAGGTTCCCCGTATAATTGCTGGTACATCTGTCTTATTGCCAAGATAAGTGCCATTCACGTCATCATTACAGTTAGGCTTGTACTTACGTGCCTGTTGATGTCGGATATCACAACGGCGTCTTGTTCCCGTCAGAAAAAAGAGGGGGGACCTTCACAACAAACTTATAGATGTCAGTGTGTTTCTCTGGCCAGGTGTAGGGCAGACAATGATTGCTTTCTGTGTTTGCATTGTCCGCCAATATCAGGTCTCCGTGCCTCTTACAAAAAAGTGGTAACATATAGTGCTATCGTGTGATGTTAAGCCATGTCATCTTTCAACAATACAGGAAGTACGTCGACATGCTCGTTTTCTTACGAATTCGATTTCAATACCTTAAGTCAGTCTTGCTACTATGGCGATTCGTCGTTTTTATCGATATTTTGACAAATATCAGGCAAAGAGGCATGAGGCAGTGAAAGCGTTCAAAAACGTGTGCTAAACATGTGCGTTTTTTTCCACAAGTAAGATAGCAGACGAGAAGAAAAACACAGATGATGTCAACACTTCAATTTCTTCGTTCAAAATTGTTCGATTCGACAAGGGTTTTTCTTTGTCTTTCTTCGGAAAAGTATGTCCACTGTTGTGCCAAGAGTTTGAATAACTTTCAAAGAAAAGGAATATCGAGGCTGCCTAACTGCACCATCGATTACTGTTGCTATTCTATACAGGTATAATTTTCCATAGGATAGGATACGGTAAATTCAAAACGAGCGATCATGAGCTTAGCTCATTCGACAAGTGGCAACTTTATTCAAAATGGTCTAATAAAGCAGCAAGAAGGACCAATAGTTGTCATGAAGCTGGGGACGGCATTTTAACAATGAAAGGCCTTTCCTGGGAAACGTTAATTTAGTGCGGTTGCAGCTCCATTACTTTGAAGCTAGGACCTTTGATTAATTTAAGATACAATGATTTCGTATGCAGTATCGAATATAAATGATCCAGACGTTACCTAGAGCCGGTAGTGTACATAACTTTACGTTCAAACCCGTTTTCGACATACATGCCTTGAATCATCTTGGCAACCGGGGTGTCTGGCTCCCGTTGAAGTGACGTCCCTTAACTTCACTGGTTAGATCTGCTTGTAAATGTTCTACGCCTTCTTGTGTATTGTACTGCATAAGTTTTCGTGTAAGCACCCCACGTATCTCAAAACGTTTGGACGCAATCTAAAGGTTTCTTTATATGTATTTTTGCTTGGCGTACATTTTTAATTTTTGTGGTTTTTACGTTTTTTTATATTGGCAGTCTGCGTAATACTAAGCGAGTTTCGTACAAGTCAGCATTCAAACGAACAAACAGGTGTTTCAAAATAGGCATCATACGGCTACCTACTTGATCGCGATTTCATGTTTTTGATTAAAAGCGTTTAGGGTGTAAAGCGGGAAAGTCATCTAGGGTTATTCACCAGGCCTGTTGTTACGCTATATGCAACAAGATGTTGTTAGCTCTTTCGCGATTGCCAGCTACTTAGTTTTTAAGTATAGGCAAGGTGAATATACAAAACAAAGGTATTTTGACGACAGCGTTGCGTATTTTAACAAAAAAAAAAAAAAACAAATATGTTCCGCGGGTCTTGCGTGCATACAGGCACCACCATAGCAGTTTATGCGTGCCACATGTGGTCCCTACTAGGAAACCAACTTCATTGCCCGTTCTTTATCGGCTTTTTAATTGAAAACGAAAGAACATAGGTGACGAAAACAACACCCCATATCATCTGCCACCTCTAGTTACTCCTGCGTAATAGTTAACCTCCCGTTCGCTCAGTGCCGATTCAGCCAAATCTTTGCCGCAAAAAGTACTGCTGTGGTTAGCTGTTTCGCTGTTGTAATGCATGCTATATTAAAAATGCTCGTTTATGCACGTGTGCACGTTATATGTCCGTATCCGTTCTAAAAACGATCAGCTTGCTTCTTCGAAAGCGGTACTCAAAGCAAGCAACCACTCACTGACTGTACTTGTCGGCCCCTAGCGCCTTCACTTACACTTTGATTCTCTCGTTGTCTTCTCAGTAGGGACAGGACACCAGCGAAGCTATGTGCTCAAGTTCAGAGCTTTTCAAGGTCGACCTTCTTCTACCGCAAATTTTTCAATCTAGGCATCTCTCAGAGCTGATCATGGTGGAACAAAGAAAAATGTCCTCTGTGACAGCACTAGAACACATTCAACATCCTTAAGACTTCCTACGATGCGTACTTTAGCGTGACCGTTAGTCGTCGCCATTGTCACCGTGAAGTCCTTTGATAGATGCGAGAAGAGAGAAGCAAACGGACCGCGATAGAGGAAGCCATAAAACAGCGATGATTGCCGAGATGGCCAGAAATAACAGAATAGCGAGATGGTCTCGTAAAAACGACTGTGAATAGCGGTCTTCCAAATGACTCAGCCACTGTATGTATATATATTTATGGTAAATTGATTGAACAGACAGTCGTGAAGAAAGAAACGGAACATAAATATGAATAGCACTGATTTATTGACTTGCAAGTGCTACCTTTATTTCTTATATTATTATTAAATTAAGCGAGCTTAATTAGTATGAATGAAGTGCCTCAACGAAATGCGATCCAGTGCGGACATCGCTCAAGGATCATGAAAACATGTAGTTGAGGTATATTAATGAGAGATTCTTTGACATGTAGGGAGATCGATACTCGTGTATACAGAGTATTCCTTTCGAAGGACTCTGATTCAGAAAATAGGTAAGGTAAACATGCGTGGTATTTAATGCACCGAAGTTTTATATGGATGCGTTTATTTGCCACAATGACAGCAAAACGCCAGCAGGGTTAAGTATTCTACGGTACGCAACCTATAGAAGTGGTATACCAAAACGCACCTACTAAAGCAAGTCTTTTGTTCTGACAAAGTAATTAATCAATAGTGGCCATAGAAATAACAACAAGTAAAAAAAACATGTACACATTTAAATTGATACCATTGTTAAAAAGTCATACAACTTTGTATACGAACATCGGGCATACGCTTGTCTTGGAACCAGAATGCAAAAGCTTCCACGAGGTGGAATAATTTACTAGGAAAGAGAACTGGTTGTGGTAAATTACCGCCATCAGCAACCCTGCAGACGTAACGTTCCGCCAATCTAGGTTCTAGGCAAATATTCTATGCAAGGATCTTATCGTTCCATTTGTCCCTTATGACCGACGCCCACAAAATGCAGTTACCGTAGCAAGCCACTTCAGATGTACTTAAGTCGGTCCGAGTTAGTCTAGCATTAGCATGGTGCCGTTATACAAAAAGTATAGCCATATTGCGCCCGACTGATCTAGATCGTTTTCTCACGAGACAAGTCACTGTTCATATCACCATTTTCTTTGTCATCTCCAAGGCCTGGTGCTGGACTTAACTTTGCCCGTCGGCATCGTCGATCTCAGGTCCCTTTCCTCGCTTGGGCACCGCACAGCGTTCCATGTACTGGCAAAAGTTCAACAAAGTAAAATTTTTTTACGATGTATTTGTATCGCAAGATGACGTGTCTACTGCGGTTCTCATTCTATCCGGTTAAGGACAAAAGCGATGTGTTTATCCTTGCCTACAAGTCGGGAACCATATGGGACGTAAGCGGTGCTTAATTGCGGATATAAATGGGGCCATTGACATAGTCAAAGGATAACGCTAAATAGAGGGAATCTTTAAAAAGGCAGTATGCCACGACCCGGATCGCGGCAGCCCATTCGAGGCTAAACAGAAAAGTAAGCTATTCTTTCAGAAAAGTAAGCGTTTTTCTAAGCACATTACTAGTTGTAATGGGAATTCTACTAATCAACAAAAACAATGAGAAAAGAGAGGGCATTGCCTCGTAGACTTTTGTAGTTGCGATCTTATCAAACACAATTAGTGAGTAGTATGAGTGTGAGCCTAGGCACGCGCCAACATTTAGCCAAAAGGGCCGGGCCCTTAGCGCAATGGCTTCACAAATCGGACAATTTTTATTTCTGGGAAACGCTAAAACAAACCTAGGAGCTGATTGTGCAAGCAAGCAACTGGACTGTTATCTAGTTGATGGAAACAGAAGTAAGTAGCAGAATACATCACATATCTATTGGAAAGCTGAGATTATATAATAGCTGCTTTGCGCACTAAATGGATAACGCTGCCCTACGATGAAAACGACAAGGTTTTCATTTGCTTTTATCTAGCCTCGTTTGACTGGCGAAGGTGCTTTTGCCAGTTAGCCAAGACAACCAATCGGTGAATAGAAGAAATGGACACCGATCGCACGATCTGCACGAGCATACTTGTGCGTCGATAATGGAAAATTGGTCATGTATATATATGCATGCATACTGCGCTTATAACTGGACACATGAACGTTGGTAAAGCAAATGTCGCTACCTGTATAGCATCATAGGTGTTTTGGCATTTTGAGGGAGGGAGCGAGGTGGAAACGCTTCGTTTGCTAAACCGCCAATGTGAGTACTATATGATCTTTTGACACAGAGAAAGGGTTGAAGAAAATCACTATCTAAGATTATACTTGGGCATTCTACACTGAAGTACGATGCTAGAGTGTTTCAGTGGTCATGATTGCGAGTGCACAGTTAGAATACTACATGACGTGTAGAAGGGGGCCCGTCGAATGTTTACGTGACATAAAAAACGTTCATGTGTCACACTGCGGTAAGCATCTGTAGTACTGCCATCGTTTTATCCTTACTGTTATTTCAGTTTATTCGCATATATATGTATGTTTACTTACCGGACCGAGATTTACGAAACCATGCACATTTGCTACGCTGGATGCCTCCTTCCGGGTCATGTCACGGCGAAAGCGCACGAGAAATGAGTTGGTAAACACCTCGTTGTGCGGTGAACATTCAACGGCCGATTCGGAGACAAGGCCGATCACGACGACCGCTACTGCCATCAGGGATATTAGCCCCGCAGCAGATTTTTGGACAACGACTTGCATCACGCGGCGGCGGCAAGCGCTCGAGCTGACGCCGCGTGACAGGACGCGGAATCGTTACCAACCCGATGCTGCTGCTCTATATAGCTACCTAGACACCAACAGCACTTCAGTATTACTACAGCCAAGTCCAATGTTCACTACAGAGCAGGATACACCATGCTGGCAATAATCTGATAACACCAGAACTGGCGCATTGCTACCATCACAAAGTGCTGTCGTCCAAGGATTTTGGTTGACTTCGCCTGTAGCACGGTTGTTTCTACCGTCTGTTATAACTTCCTATTGCTTCGGTGACGACAGCGCAAATCAACGTACGACGTCAATGGTTAACTAATGGTATTGCAGCGGCTGAAAAGCGCTGCTGTGATAACTGCTGATTTTCTCGTTGCCGCTGTTTCAGGGGCTGATGTTTATTCTGCTTGTGTTGAGGCAGCTTGCTTTCCGTATATGAAACAGGCTGTTAGCTGTTTTGTTGGGATCTATCTCCAAACGCCTTTGGGATCTTCGACTAGCGGTTATGTTTTTGGCCTCGATGGCGACCCGCAATGACAATGGGAATGGGTATGATGGTAGCTGCGTTAATTTTCTTTATTGGAAAGTGTTGGCGGCAACCACACACCAATCAGTTCTGTTATAGCCAACTAATGGTATTAACCTCGTCTGCCAGCAGCCCACCGCGCTGTACTTCTACTGCCAATCAGTTTTGCTTACTGAACGGCCTGCTGTCCTTTGTCCTTCGTGCTTGCCAACAGCGACGCAGTCCACAGCAATCAGCAGATCAGGCGCGTCGCGTGGTGGTCGTCGTTTAATGGGTTGCTGTCGTCGCTGGTGGTGACCAAAAGTACCCCTCACCCAACTACTCCGATTTGGAATCGATCCGGCCCCAACAGCATTCGGGAGCGCACAGTGCTGCTGCAGCGCAAGCGTACTCTGTCGTCTTCGTCTTTCTCCGATTCGCTGAAGCAGTCAACCAACCATCAGGCGAGCTAACCAAGTGACACACTCCGAACTCGGCAGCGGACGGTCGCCAACATCCTAAAACAGGCACACGGCCAAATCGCACGCACGCACGCGCTTAACCGACAGATACAGCGCCAACTGCCAGCGAGACTTAACACAGAACGCACACATGCACGGCTACCACTGTACGTCGTCTCCGGCCCTCCGTACCCATAAAAGTGTCTAGAAAAAACCCCTCGCAGCAGTGCTCAGTATGCGCGCGCAGCGGGAAGTGACGCACGTGCACGTCGTCTGCTAACATATGGCACAGGCAGCCGAAAACTCAGCGAGACACCGACAAACCGAGCGCGATGTGTCTTATCCTATTCCGATAGCAGTGGCAGCAGCGGCGTCTATCGTCGTTGCTGCTGCCAAAACATCATAACAACGACGGCGGCTCCTGCTGCACGCAGGAGCAGCGGGGAACAATGCACGGGGAGCCAATATAGCGCCAGCGGAGGCCGCAGCAACGACAGCAGGAACGCATTACACAAACAGCCAGAGCCTCAAGCAATGCTGAGTCCGTAATAATCGTTTTTAGCCATCACTATTCCTGCTAATGCTGCTACGTTTTAGTACTGGAACCCGTAAAAGCCGACAGCTACTAAAAGCTGCCAGCGCAAGTTAGCAGGCTTAAAGTGCTCGTTGGCTGGCCTGCTTGCGCTACCACACCTTTGTCCCCACAATCGCAGTGTCCTCGCCCTATTGAATCGGGACGAAAACAGGGATCTCCTGCCTGGGAACAGATTTCCCTCACTTTTCCCGAAACCAAAAGGGAGAGAGAGAGAGAGAGAGAGAGAGAGAGAGAGAGTAAGCAAGGCAAATGAGCAAGTTGCTACGCCAGCGTATGGAGCAAGCGAACAAGCAAACAGGCGTAAACGGCAGCGTGCACAATACATTTACTATGATCCACAACGGCTTTGTGGCCGGAACGAGTGTAATCATTGGGCAGAATTAGCCGAGCGGCTGGTTAATACTCAGGGTCAAAGGGAATCTTCAGCTTCGGGCTGACAGTCAACGGTGAGACAAGCTATGGTAAGGTATACCGGCGATGGTGGTACGATTCGTTTGAAATTGCCGCTGTGCAGTGACAGCCTCTTATTGCAGCAGAGCCCGACTAAAGTCATCGATTTGAAAAGCGCTGGATTGAAAGCACTGACTGAAAAGAAAGAAAAAATGACGATTTTTGTGTTTAGCTTTACAACACACAGACCGATAAGACTTGCAAAAAGAGATGCAGGCTGATTAATAGGTTTGAAAACTCCTATGTAAACGTTATGGGCATTGTCATTAAGCTGTATCACGACTTTTGGGGGGTTATCTCTCTAAACGCATAATATTTCTCTAATTGTTAATGTTAGGTATGTGGTTTTGGAAGGTTTTCGTGGAACGTTCGCATTTCTCTCACAGTCTGGGACTCGATGTCGTCTAAAAAACGGTGCTGCTTGCCAAGCGTTTATAGGATGATAATAAATGTGTGCATAAAAGAACTTGACAGACGCCCAAGTATGAATAATATCGCTTTGAACCCAGCTTTACAAAAAATATAAATCCAACAAACACTTCTACTCGCTCATCCTCAGTCAGCGTTTTACGCCTACCATCAACTCAATTACCTTACTTAACTATTATTATTATTATTAAATGATCACCATCTTGAGAATTACTCGTACTGCTTTTTTTTTCGCAGTCATTTTTAAATCTATGCGATTAGTTTGCAATACGTGTCTCATTTGAGCCTGCCCCATCCGCTTACTGTTTCCTGGCCTTCTCCTTTGGCAGGTCCTGAATTCCTTCTCATAATGAGTATGCCTCATGAAAACACGGCAGAAGCAACGCTTCCACTTGCAAAATTATTTCAATTGCGTTTTGTTCTGCTCCTGTTTTAATCTATTACCTTTTCTACGGGTTTCAAGTCAGTGGCAGTAGCAGAGATAGCATGTGTTCCTCCCGCTCCCACTCCCTGTTTCCATGTTTGGCCATGGATACAGCACAAGGAGCGAGAGGGATTTATCTTATTAAATAGTCACATTCGCATAGATGGGACCTCCCATGTGCCTGATTCATTTGTTTCGTAGGTTATTACATAACAAAATAAGGCGGCGTTATAACTAGTATTTCTCTGGACCTAGTGAAATATCATATGCTATTGCATGCCGTAACGTGTACACTTTGTTATCCTATTGTTGCATATACAACAAGAAAAAAAGACTCAAAGCTCTTTGTTGCAATACAATGCAATTCATCGACGAATCTTTCTCCCTACTAGGCTGACAGTTTTTGGCAACAATATACTTTTTGAATGAGCCCAGCGAGATTTTCTATATATTTCTTTGATTTTCTATATATTTTCGTTGATTGTATATTATATAACCTAACCTAACAGTAATAGGTCATCTTGTAGGTAACGACAGTGAAACAACTAATCTATGTAATCAATTTCCCTTGTTTGAAGGGCCATTGCATGCCTTAAAAATAGATCAAATGTGCTTAATGAACTCATTGTGCTTTCGACATCCGATACTGGGCAGGCAGTCTGCCCTGTTCTTGTTTCACCTCAGACGGATGTAGTATGCTGATAAGGCTCCCATATTGAATGACGTCCAAACGGCTGCTGATAGTGAATAGCGCCCTCTCGTGATTCGCTGAGGAACTAGTTTGCAAGTTTATATGGAGATGAATAGGCGACTGTTGCTGTTACAGGGCGGCAGGAAACCCCAGCAATAGAACCAGCATACCGGTGCCAATGGGGTGTCTTGCTGCTGCTGCTGCTGCTGCTGTCCCCGCAAGGAGAAACCAAGCATAAATGCTCCTGGTTTTACCTTGCTGTTATGCTGGGACACGACACAAAAGCGAGGGGTGGCTTTCGAAATGACCTCACGGTATGCGATGCCGTCTTCCTACCTTCGTTCACCAGACAAAGGACGCAGAAAGGGACGGAGGCGCGCTGTGAGACTTTTGCATCGGCTAAGCTGAGACTGAAGAAATTGCCGGTAGCGCTTCTGTACCCCCGCCGAAGGCGGCACAGACCAGAAGGCAGTAGATGGATAGCAGGTGGAGCAGCGGTGAAACGCACACGCGCAATTCTATCGGCTTCCGGTTTCAGCAACGCTAGTCGTTATAGCAGAAACGAGATGAAGAAGAAACGACCAGCTAGTGAAGCCACCGGGATCTACGTTGAAAAAGCAGGAGGATCGATGAACAGGAATTCCAGTTCCGACCGGTATGACCCAGAGCTCGCATGGCCAGCCAGTGGACACTAATTTACTAATGCAAAAAAATATCGCAAACATATAAGTGAACTAGTTAAGTTCAGCTGCAACAAGATGGACCAATTACCGGGTCTAAGGATAACAGGAGCAGATGTAAAATAGTTGAAAATACTAGCATCATATAATCTTCGTTTGTATCTCAGACCTTGCCAGAGTGCTTTCTCTGGCCAAAACCGAAAATGAGTCTCGAACATGGTGGAGAGCATGAATAAAAAATTATCCAGAATTTATTTACTGTTTGCGTTTAGTTTAGTCTAGTGCTGTACATTGTAAGAAAGCCTTGCAACTTTAATGGAGATAGATAGACCGAAGTGCTACCTCAATGCATGCAGACACGTGCGAAATCACCTTTTTACACGGCCTCTAGCGGCAATTTAACCTAAAGTTGTAGTAAATTGTTACGTGCTGCGCTGAATGAAACACTCTCAGAGACCTATAAAAAGCCATAGCAGAGTTATATACGAACTACCGATCATGAAGGCAAACCATGGGTTCATTTTAGGCGGTCGGTCAACTGCTTTAGAGTGAGTTCTTGAAAACTTTTCGCTCGTTCTGCAAACACTTTACTTAATTATCCTAAATGCCATTTAATGTATGTCATAAGACGACGAATACTTACGTAACTATATCTTGCCCTGGCCACCAACCTTAGTCCAGTTTACTGCCTACAAAACTTTTGGGATTTCGCCATAATGGCAGCCCTTGTCGAAATACTTCCATGCCCGGGTTCTCGTTCCTAGATTCTTCGTTGGCGATTTGCCAGTTGGAAAAGTCGTTATCCGCTGGGAACCCGGTCGCAGATTAAGAATAGGATGGATAGGGCTAATTCTGTCGTTGGCGTGTGTCTATATGACATTGTATGTATGAGTGCAATAAATAAACGGTGAACCTCCAGTTAGCAGTATCACCACCGTTATCCTTCCTGCAAATTGTAGGTTACAAATACACATCAAATCTCGTTCGAAACGGAAAGAAAAAAGATAAAAAAATATATAACGACAAAAATATAAATATGCAAAAACATACAATTTGATATATAATGATCAGCATCTAATGTACTTGTAAAATGTAGCTAAATATATTTATGCTTGGTAGAGAATTTTTAGACGGTTTGTCCATACTACTGGGTACGTAGCTACAAACATCTTAATAAGTGCGTACAAATATAGTTTACTGAAGCGTCAAAAACATACCAAATTCTGCACAAAAACGCGTTGGACGACGACTACTAATATATTGATCACAGTAGTTTATACCTTTAGCTTCATTATTGTCTTACAATTATATAATTTGTGTGTGGATTACACACATTTCAACAACGCTATGGTTGTAATCTTATTTCCTCTCCGTCGTGTCTGGTATCCTGTCCTGATGTAAAACTCGCAATATCTCATCTTTTGTGTTAGTTTTACCTTTTACTTCACAATTTTCTTTTTTCTAATTGTATACTTCTTTCTTTATGTCCATTATTTGCGGGGAATGGAACTGGAATATGTCGAATTGGAACATTCTTTTGTAGGCCGTCTGCCTTAACGGGCACGTGTTCATCCGCCATTCTTGGCGGTACAGAAACGCCTGTTCCTTTCGGAACAAAACAGATGGTTTATCGTGGCGGATAATACTGCAGCATCCTAGCGAAAAATTGCCTGATTTTTGCTACAGAAACTTTTTTTTTTGGTTTTTAAAAAGAAAATATGAAATGTCAATTAGTTCATCCAGCTAAGCTCTAACGATTAAGACTTGTTACGCTTTTTTGCACCCTTTGCACTTTCCCACTGTTTTACTTGACACCTTGACCATTAACACAAAATTTAATGTAATTTTAAAACTTTAGGTGCGGGTTTTTTTGTATGTAGCCTATTTAAGCGGCACTTTTACGACTTTGTACCCAACATTGTTGATTGACGCATGGTTACTATTAACAAATGATTTGATAACTAAGGAAAAGGATCCTCCAAAAATGATTAGCATTGGGTTTAGGTCGTGAACAACTGTGACGGACAGCGGTCACATTCCATACGGATGCTTGTCACAGACGGAATTTCCAACACACATATAC